TTAGGTCATTATCCTGCATATTTTCAAGAATATGTCTTTAATTTTGTCAACATAAAGACCCTAGTGGTTTTCTTTACTCTGTGTTACATTTTGCTAGATATTAAGCTTTTCTTCATTATATATTTCTCTTACAAAATAAAACCTATTTACTATGCCTTTTGAGCTACTATTGCACTCACCCCTTGGTATTCACATCAGTCTTCCTGGTAACCATAAAAAAATTCAAAAAAGTGTAAATAATTGCTTTAGTTCATACTGAAACTCACTTAAACCTCTTAATTCCTTCTCACTTCATTTGCTGAATGAGGTTAAAAAAAAAAAGTAAATTCAGCTGGTATATCCCATGTCTTACTAACCACAAATTTTTAATATATGAAATTCTAAAATTTTTAAAAGACCCTTCTTTCTTCCAACAATGATGAAATTGTGTATTTCCTGAAGCTACACTTGGTACTACACTTGATCTTAGCCAAAAGGCCAAGAAGCGATAATCCCTGAAGCTTACTCCACTCAAAAAGGCATTTCAGTGTTCTTTGCCCTATTATCCTTTCCTTAATTTCTAAATGTCAATCAAATATATTAGCTACATATTTCTTTCAAATCTTATGAACTTTCCAGAGATCATGGAAATGTTTTTGTTAAAGTCACTTTAAAAAACTCTGATCCATCTCTGTTGAACACATTGCTTTTAGAGCTAAAAGTTAACTATAAATTTTTGACAGTTGATTCTTGTGAGATTCTTCCAAGCCACTCAACCTTAAAATTTAAGAAAATATTCTGAAATTGCTGACCCTTTAAATGTATTCTTGTTCATTCATTTTTCTCTCCTTTCTGGGATGCATTTATTTTTAGACTTTTTTTTCAAATCGCAGTTAGCTGGCTAGCTCAACAGTCCTAGACACATAGACTGCCGCCTTTCTTCCTTTTCTCAGAAACTGTAAACTTTTCTCTACAATTGTTGGAATTTTTAAATTGTATGTAGCAAGAAACAAGGTACATATTATGTATGGTGCCTGCAAATCCCCCAGTAACACCACATAAATTATTTGCTCATCTAGCACATGGCTGTTAACTCACAATTGGAATTTATATCTCACTTGGAAGACAGGGGTATTGGTGCAAAGGCCAAATCGGCAGGGCACCTGAAAGGCAGCATTTTGTTCCATCTACCTTCCACAAAGCAGAGCCAAATATGGGTCATTACAGTCGGCAGGGAGCCTTGAAACACCTTCTAACTTTGTGCAGTAGGATGCTGAGAGTCTTTTGACCTAGTTTTGTACATAAGAAATGCAAGGCTGTGGGCCATGGTGACTGGAAGTGATAGATCTATGTATTTCCGTTATTGCAAAGATCCTAAAAAGTGTTAGCTTTGTGATTTTTCTCATTCCAGAAAACAAAAATGTGATGTTTTTCTCTATATATATTTCTGTTTTTGCAAACTGAAATTGAACTGAGATTGTCCTAATATTCTCCTCAGTTTTACTACTCTAGTTAGGTTTCTTCCTAAGTCTCTACCACTGTTCTCTTAGCATTCACTTTAGGAAACTTTGAATCATAATTTTTTTTCTCTCTTTTGAATATGGAAAGCTATTTAAAAGCCTTTTGCACAGGCCAGGCATTTGGTTCAGTGCTTAATATGCTGCTTGGCAGGGGGAGGGGTAGCACTGTAGTGCAGAGGGTTAAAGCCCCCGCCTGCAATGCCTGCATCTCATATGGGTGCCAGTTCAAGTACCAGCTGCTCTATTTGCAATCCAGTTCCCTACTAATGCACCTGAGAAAGCAGCAGAGATTGGCCCAGTTATTGGGCCCTTTCACCCATGTGGGAGACCCAGAAGAAGCTCCTGACACCTGGCTTCAGATTGGCGCAACTCCAGCCATTGTGGTCACTTGATGAATGAAATCAGCAGACAGAAGACATCTCTCTCTCTCTGTTTCCACCTCTCTCTGTAACTCTTTCAGATAAATAAAATAAATCTTCTTAAAAAAATAAAAGATACTTCTTGGGGTACCCAAATCCCATAGTTCGAGTCCTGACTTGCTTCTAATCCAGCTTCTTGGTAAGGAACACCAGGGGAGGCAGCAGGGGACGACTCAAGTATGTGAATCCCTGCCACACATGGGAGAGACTCATTCTGTGTTATGGGACCTTGGTTTCCACCTGGAAAAGTCTTTGACTCTGAAGACACTTGGGGAGTGAACCAGAAGATGGACAATTTTTGCCTCTTTATCCCTGTCTCTACCTTCTGGGTAAAGTGAAAATAAGTAAATTAATTTTTTTTAAAAAATAGGGCATCTTGTCACTTTTACAATTCAATACTGTTTTTCACAAAGGTCTGAAAACCATATCTTTCATATAAAGACAATTTCTTATTTAATTTTTACTTGGAAGACAGAGAGATAAAAAGAGAGAGAGAGCGAGAGCGAGAGCGAGAGAGAGAGAGAGAGAGAGAGAGAAGGAATTTTCCATCCATCTAGTTCATTTCTCCAATGCTCCCAATTGCTGGGGCTGGACCAGGCCAAACCCATGAGAGCTTAGAACTTAGTCTGGTTCTCTGACCTGAGTCACAATAACCCGGTAGTTGAGCCATCATCTTTTGCCTCCTAGGATGTGCATTAGCAGGAAGCTAGACTCTGAAATGGAATCAGGATTCAAATCTAGACACTTTGATATGGGATGCAGGTGACTCAAGCAGTATCTAATCACTATACATTGGGCCTAGTGTTGTGGTTCAGCAAGTTAAGCTGCCTGAGATGCTGGCATCCCATATGAGTACCAGTTCAGGTCCCAGCTACTCCACTTCTAATCCATACTAATGCACCTGAGAAAGCAATGAAGATGGCCCAAGTACATGACTCCTGCCGCCCGTGTGGGAGACGACCTGGATAAAATTCCTGGATGCTGGCTTCGGCCTGGCCCAGCGCTGGCTGTTATAGCGATATGAGAAGCGAATCAGTAGATGGACGATCTCTCTTTGTGTCTCTCCCATTCTCTCTGTAATTCTTTCAAATAAATAAATAAACATTTGAAAAATGTAAGCATCAAGAAGAGAACTCCTCTCTCTTCCCAATCATGTGAGAGGACAAGAGCCTAACTTAACGTGACACATTCCCCCTAGTTGGAAAACTACCCTGATCACAAAGATATGAGAAAGTTTACTTTCCCTTTGGTATTGTCAATTAGCGTCCATCCATCCAAAGCTTAAAAATTCTCCCATCATTTGTTTCAGAATATGAAGTTCAGGTTTCTTGTATGTCCCCCATTACAATAGCCTTGAATACAGACTTGCTTACCTGCCTAACCCTGTCTAGTTCAACTTTTGCTTTATCAAAATGTTATTTAAAAGTTATTGATGTTAAGAAAAGTTTATATCTTTCCATCACATGGCTGCTTTGAAATTGAGCACTCAGAATGTGTGTATCCTCTACCCTCTTGATACGCATCACACAGATGCTTCATTTACTTAATATTTTAGTAATGTTAGGAAATTTTCTCTCTGCACTAAGCCAAATCTTCCAAACGAACACATTCCCCCTAGTTCCAAGGTATCTTGGATTGAATGACTCATATTCAGAAAACCATCTTTTCTACCCCAATACCAGAAATATTGCAAAAATATAGCTCCTTAAACTGAGATCCTGAGCCTGTTATAATCAAACCCCAGCTTGCCTCCCTTTCCTGATCTTAGACCATAATGAAGAATTCATGTAAAATGAATCACATGCTGTTTCTAAAAATATTTTATCAAGCAACCATTCACCTTAACTGTACCTACTCCAAGATTTTGTTATGTCTTCCATCCTTTTACTAACCTTGAAAATTTATTAAAATGTTATTAATGAATATAAAATGTTATTAATGAATATAAGTCCTTATAATGCTCTGTGCAGCATGTTTTATCCTTATAACTCCCTCTCTGTGAATATGTGTCTGTGTGTGTGTGTATAAAGATTAGTTTACTTATTTGACAGTAAGAGTTACAGAGAGAGAGAGAGAGAGAGAGAGAGAGAGTTCTCCCATAAGTTGGCTCACTTCCCAAGTGGCTGCAACAGCCAGAACTGAGTCAGGATTGAAGCCAGGAACCAGGAGCTTCATCTGGGTCTCCCACATGGGTGGCAAGGATTCAAGCACTTGATCCATCATCCACTCCGTACCAGCATCACTAGCAGTGACCTTACCCATTGTGCCACAATGTCGACTCCATAACTCCCTCTTATCATTTGACATTATATCATTTTTACCTCCTCATCTAACTCTTTTTTTCCACTAGGATTGTGAGCTTCCCGACAGCAAGAGCACAGCTTAGCTATTAGTATATTCTCCAGAGAGACACATTCAACTAATCCTTGTATATTGAGCAATATTCAACAAAGTTTTGAAAAACTGGAAAGATTATTTGAGCACACTACGTAAAATATGGTGCAAAGTCCAAAAGGAAATCTCAACATAATATATCAGAAAAATTTTCAAAATTAATCATTTTCATAACTCTAAGTATCTTCATTGTCAAGTGCATGTTAACGAATCTGAAAATTTTAACATTAAAAACAATACAACACAAGAAATGGATGTTTCTCAAACTCATTACTTTCAAAGGGAAAGGCATCAGAATATCTTGCCCTTCCTAATGTTTTCAGCAAATACAGCTTAAAACTAAAAGTATTTAAATCGTTAGTGTCTTCTCTGCTCCTCTCACAAGCTCATTCCATCAACTGTCTATTTTATTTAATTGTATAAGCCTGTTTAAGTCCTTTTTGGAAAGGAGAGAGAGAAGAGGAGGCAGAGAAAGAAAGAGAACATGTGCATGCATTTGCAGTTCTTATTTCAGTGACAAATGGAAAATTAGTCCAAATTTTCTCCCCACCAGACAGGGGTCACTTGAAAAAATGCATATAGACTTAAGGTTTCTGTTGTTTGTTTTCGGTGTTTTAAACCCTGTACTTAGAGAAAATGAGTTAAATTCTTAAGAAGACAGGAACGTGCTGTGGTTCTTTTACTGTACCTGTGTATGCAAATTGGACAAGATCCCAGAGAGCATTGGGGTCTATGCCTTCCATCTTGATTTCCTCTTGCTTGGCTTCACAAACATCACTTGTAAACATGGCCGCAAAATAGTCGGAGACTGAACTCAGAACAAGCCTGAAAGAGTCACAGAGTCTAATTTAGGCCATGAATGTAAAACATGTAAACACAGTGTCAACCAGAGCTCAATGTAGAAAGCAAAAGTTATGATTAATTTACCAATCAATGTATTTGTTTATTGCCTGTGGATCTTTGTTTTTAAAAACTGATTCAAGTAACCCTGCTCTACCCTTTGCTTCCAGAGAATTCTCCTGCATTTCTTTCCTATCATTTTAATGATTACCATTTCACACTTTAGGCTTATCTTTATGAATGAGAATCAAATTTTTCCCATCTTTACATTCTGATATACTTTCCACTTTGATGATTGGATCCTTTGAATTATGATGACACCTTTGTCATGCATTTGACTCCCGAAGGCATACTGGGCTTTTTCTGAGATTTCTTTTTCTGCTTATTTATTCTTGTGCACTAAATTTTTTAAAGGGTAATTGCAAATGCATGATAATCACTGCAACACAATTCTGTTAATGATGTATTAATACAAAGAGAAGAGTCAATGTAGTTTATAGACCCTATATTTATTTATTTTTGACAGGCAGAGTGAACAGGGAGAGAGAGAGAGAGAGAGAGAAAGGTCTTCCTTTGCCGTTGGTTCACCCTCCAATGGCTGCTGCGGCCAGCGCACCGCACTGATCTGAAGCCAGGAGCCAGGTACTTCTCCTGGTCTCCCATGGGGTGCAGGGCCCAAGGACTTGGGCCATCCTCCACTGCACTCCCAGGCCACAGTAGAGAGCTGAACTGGAAAAGGGGCAACCAGGACAGAATCTGGTGCCCCGACCGGGACTAGAACCTGGTGTGCTGGTGCCGCAGGCGGAGGATTAGCCTAGTGAGCCATGGCGTCGGCCTCATAGACACAATTTTAAGAGCACAATATTTTAATGTTATCATTCTAAATATGTCTCTATAACTAAAGAGGCAATTTCTTCTTATTTATATTTTCTGTTTATTTAACTATCAGTGGAATTTTATTCTTTCACAAGTGTAATAAGCATTCAAATTTAAAGTACGTTCTTTCAATAATTCCTACATAATTTTGATTTAAAATATATTACAATTGTGTTACATATTTAAGCAACGTTTCCAAATAAGTGCACTCTTGCCTTAAAGAAGATATTGGACCTTTTTACAAATGTTTTCATGCTTGTTATTTAAGAATTAAAATTGTTTGCTAAGTTTTCATTTGATGTTGTTATTGTCAGTAAGTTATCTGGGAAGCCTGACTTGTTCCTTCACTTCTCTATTCTCTTCAAGATGGGAAACTTACTCTGAAGGACTCTCAAGGATGTACAGTTTGATCTTTAGACCTTATAAAAGGAATGGCTAACGTTTTCAGTAATAATAGTATAACCAGGGGCCGGTGCTGTGGCATAGTGTGTAAAGCCACCACCTGCAATGCCAGTATCCCATATGAGTGCCGGTTCAAATCCTGGCTGCTCCACTTCTAATCCAGCTCTCTACTATGGCCTGGGAAAGCAGTAGAAGATGGCCCAAGTCCTTGGGCCCCTGCACCCGCGTGGGAGACCCAGAAGAATCTCCTGGCTCCTGGCTTCAGATCGGCACAGCTCCGGCCATTGCAGCCTTCTGAGGAGTGAGCCACGGATGGAAGACCTCTCTCTTTCTCTCTCTGACTCTGCCACTCTGTAACTCTGCCTTTCAAATAAAATAAATAAATATTTAAAAAAATAATAATAGCATAGCAGAATGAGAGCACCCCTTGACTTGCAGCCTGTTAATGTGTTTCCTCTGGTCTGTCTTAACAAAAAACAGGAGGAAGAGAAACAAAAAATAGGCTGCAGAAGCAATGTAAATATAGGTGGTAGGCCAATTAATGGCTACTTTATACAGTGATCTGCCATCAAGGAGACCCAACAAGCCAGTTCACTGCACTGGTTTTTGATGTGGAAAGCCAGGGCTTATGCAGAAGGCAGCTTATTAAGAGCCCTGGCAGCTCTGCCAGCCAAGAGCTGGGTCACTGGAAACAGAATTGCCCAGGAGTCAAAGGACTTCAGGTCAGAACCACAGGCCTTGATGGCTTTAAGTGGAAAAGCTCCTCACTCTGCCCAGCTTCCAAAGTAACTACTGCTGTTGAGTGGTTGGCCAAGTAGGATCAGAAACATTGCAGGTAGAACTGTAAATTTCCTATTAGAGATGCAACCTGCCTTTACCTGGCCAGATCTCCTCCCAGGCCAGCTAGGTAATGGAAGTCAATAGGGCATGTTCTCTAATGAAGTCACAACTCCATGAGTATATACCCCTTGTAAAGAGATAGATAGGCCTGGGCCTTATACTGGCAAGGCCTTAAAGTCAAGCTGATTATTTTCAAGCCCTTTCTGTCAGTTTCTATTTGCCTCTCAATGAGAAAATTTGCTCATAGGTTAGATACTTTTTTGGGGGCCTCTGATAATGACTCTGTCCTCAGTATTAGATCCTGTGAGTTTAAACTGCTTGTTAGATTAATTTTCTCCAGACTTAACAAAAACCTGATTTACAATTCTTTATCCTCTCTAAGTAGCCAGGCACATGAAACCTCAGATGGAAACAGTTTCTGCAAGCTGGCACTGTGGTCCCCTGGAGAAGCTACCTCTTGCTGGAACTCTTGACTGCACTTCCCCACAACACACCTATTCAACATGAAGCAGCCAAAGTGATCACCACCCAGTACCCCTAACAGATGTTAGGGCTCATTCTTGTTGAAGGGGTAATGTTAGGAGTCAGATGGGTTAATAAGCAGTTGGGGGGGTCCCAGTGGAATTTAGGGTGCAGAATGTTTGCCCTCCCCTTCAAAGGTTATCTTTAGCAAGAACAAACTGACCCACCCTCTTCCTTAAGAATCTGCAAATTTACCATGTGAATAGCAAGGGAGTGGTGATATAGTTTATTGTGAAAACAAGTTACCTATTCCACCCTTGTAATGGTATTTTGCTGTCTTAAGAAAACTATGATGAGGGGTTTAAACTGGAGTTTTCAATGTAAGTTCTTTTTTCTGACCATAAACATAACAGAAATATAACTTTTGGGATATATATGTGTATAAACATATAGGCAGCCCATTGTGTAAAGAACAGGCCACAGGCCTGTAAAAGGGAAAGCACAAGATGAGCCTATTACAAGAAGAAGAAAATACTCCAATCTGATGGGGAAATGTTACATGAATTAATCCTGGTATTTATATCTGTAAGCAAAGCAAAAGTAAATTTGGAATGTATTTTTTTCTAATAACACTGCAAGAGAAACAAAGAAAGAGAGTCAGGACACTGTTATCTGAAAATTTCCCTAATTTTCTAATCAGGATGATTTTTTAAATCAATTATCATGGAGTATTATTTGCTATGTATTTTATCTTCTGCATAATATAAGTGAAAGGGCATGGTGAAATTTAACATGAACAGAAAGACATTCCTTCTTTTCACTGGAAAAATTCCTTAAGTGTATAACATATGTATTTATAAAGTACCTATGGTATCCAAGTTTTAAAATATTTTATTAATTATAATGCCTAGGATGTTAACTTGTTAAAATATGTAAATTAATCAGTTTCTGATGAGTTTAACTGATAGTTACTAACATGTCAATTCTATATTAAGTTTGACAAAACTATTTAGGTACAGGTATTATCAGGTATTTATATCATAATAGGATAAATCAATGTTAAATAATCAGCACTATCTAAGGCACTAATATAGCTTTGTATGGTAAGTACTCTCATGCACTCAGTGGGTTATATATCCATGCCAGTGGAAAGAAGCATATCTATATGAATTTAACCAGTTTGTACTTACACATAAAGCCTATATCTTCAGCAGGGCTACATCACATGGAGCAAAATATTTTGTGGCCTATATTATGCAATTTTACATCATTACATAAAATTTTCTCCATTAACAATGCTGTGCAAAATACTGCTAAGTCAGTAAAGGAAACAGGAAAGTTTATACTGCACTTAGATTTAGTGGCACATAAGATTTGAATTAGATTTTAAAAGAGGGATTTAATGCATAAATAAACTAACAACTTTATATGTACATATTTAGCTTCTATTAATTCTAGAGGCAGGAGCAAGAAATTCATAAATAAGGGCATGAATGCAACCACTTTTGAAATATTCTTATTGAGGTCACTACAAATTTATTTCCTTCCGAATCTGTTAAACTTTTCTAAGTTCCACATCAATTTATTATGGTGTTTGACATTGTTGACCTCCCACTACTTCTACTTCTTTAAATCCGTTTTTTAGCTAAAGCAGTGCAGGCTTTCTTATCTCAGCTTACCTCTAACTCAAGGATTTCTTTTCTGACTCCTATGCCTTGACCCTCTCAGCGCTGTAAGATTTGTTCAGGCCTCTGAGTTTTCCCCTAACACTCACTGTTTCAGAATCATTCTTGAGGAGTCCCTTAATTATTGTTGTTATGGTAGTTTGAAATCTAATCTTGGATCTCAAAGGCCTGTAGAAATGGCTCATCAATATTCCAGTAGCATTTCAGTGTGCTTAAAGACAGCTCAAAGTCATCCCCCCTTAGATTTCCTTTCATTTAGACTTTCCTGTTTCTTATAGGTACACAGCCAACAATTTGAAACTATGAAATTATCATTATGATTCAATCTGCTTCATAGTCTGTATCAAATATGACACAAAACTCATCTTTCTTTCCCAGTTGGAATTTGTCATTGCTCTCTTTTATGAGGCACACTCATGTCCCCAGTGGCAATGATATTAACACCAAACAGCAAAAAATTCTGCTTTGCAGAAAATTGTATTTGCCGCAACAGGAGTTGCCTCATTCCTTGGGAGTTTCTTGAGCTCCTTGAACTCTCACTGTGTCCTGCAAATACCGCAGCCTCTCCAACTCTGAGTAGGTCTGGTGGCAGTGACAAACAGAACCAAACTATAAAACGCTATCCCCTGAGTCAGAGTGTGACTAACTCTGCACCAGGTCATGGTTCAGGCATTCCTGGGAGATATGGATGAGGCAAGCCTCCATCCTTGACTCCCTCTG